GTATATCAGAGACAATCCTCAAAATATGCCAATCAGTGTCGAAGCAAAACTAGCTGCACATCGAATTATCGCTAGGAGGCGTGATAACCGTAACGAACTACCGTCAATAGCACATGAGATTTGCAAAGCCACTGCACAGCGACACTGAAAAATTTGCATATCTGATCAATAAACGTTGCCACAGGAAAGGATATTCTTGTCACATATCCTCACGGAAGTATTTAGGGGCACGTCCGTATTCAAGCCCCGGAAAGCAAAACGTGCTAAGCTCCTTGAATGTCATGCCGTACATTTTCTGGATAGAAATCATTAATGTTGATTGGGACAGAAAAATAAGTGAACGGCTATCAATAATAATTGCAATCGTTTCGAATGATTTACTGATCTACATTTGATATGTACGCAAACTTTCAAAAGTCATTTCCTTATCACATGAATTCCAGCAACACTTTTGGCATAACTACATTGTAAATTATCGTGGCAGCTAGTTACTCAATTGTGTCAGTCCATTTGTGTAACACAAATCATCAAGAGACTTCGTACAACGGCAGAACGGCAGTAACTTGAAACAAAAATTAACACAGGTTCAAGGTAACGCTGACATTGGTGTTGTGGCAATTCATGACATACGCTGTCTGCAGCCGTTCTTGGTAGTCTTTCTTGGTTCAGAGAGTAGACGGAGTAAGATGGGAAAATTTCAACGTGCCTGCTTTGGAGGTTAGTGCTGAATGTGGTTTCAAATCATTCAACCAGCGTTCATCTGTCTGAGTGACCTTCGTCTTGCCATTAAATAAAACTCTCATGAAACTCTTAAGGACAGCTTCCAATAATGATGCCTACGTGATATACCCGAAGTGCAATTGTACCACTTAGTAACGAACGAACGGGTGCTGACGACCGATGATCTGAGGAAATACTCAAATGAACTCACACATATGCCCCTAAAATGGTTGGATAAAACGGCCCAAAAATAAAATGAAAATGTATTCAATGCCCATCTCGTTTAGAAGCCTCATGCTGGTAATTGATGTGTCGGAGGTCAATACAAATCATAGAAACAACCCTTTGAGGCAGGTTTGCTTCTGCAGAGGAATTTGACCTTTCCCGCAACAGTAAGCGATTGATTGAAGTTAATTTGAACCATTATTTTTAGCGATGGGACATAAATTCTGATTACATAATATTTCAGGTTTTTGATTCTGCGCCCACAGTGATATAGGTAGGTGTTTGAACGATTTATGGATCAGGGCACGAAATCCAACAGATGGTGTAACAGTTATCTACCGCCGACGCTTTTCGTTGGGTAGACTGTAGCATCATCAGAACAAGGCCCTGATCCTATGGTAAATTCTGATTGCTCTGGTATTTCAGCACTGTTAACGAAGCAACAACGGAATTTTTATTTAGGACGTTTCCGTTCTTTATGAAACTCACACCTGAGCTGGATTTTGGGAATTTTTTCATAATCTTCTGGCTAGTTATGACGACTCTTAGATAGAAGAACACGTGTTTGGTCTCAGCTAAGAAACTGAAATGATTTCAAATCGTGTTCGCGGTCTGACATCCAGTTAATCACCCACGCGGCAGAGGAAAGTCACGACCGAGGTCAGTTTAATTCCTCATCCATACCTAAGGCATCTGTAAATGAATAATTAAAATGAGCATAAACCGTTGGAATATAGAATATGAGAATAGCAGACAACCAATATTGATCCTCAGGGAATGCATGATGCCTTGCGTTGTTATAATGCACATCAACCTTGATTCACCTTGGCCGTTCGCTTGCCGAGTCGACGTCGCTGACCTTGTAACGTTAGTTCATCACGTCTCCTCTGTGAAACGGTGCTGAACGAAGCGATGCAGCCGAAGGCCGTCGATGACAACCTACCGGTCGCACGTGCACATGCAAACGGTCCCCTCATGTTGAACGACGCAATGTCCGGTGACAGGTGACAAAACTTTTCGAGGCTTTGCCAACTTCTGTAAACATGGTGGTTTCGCGAAGTGAAAGCCATTCGAAATAGTCGAAACAGTCAAACCGCTGGAAGGAGAGCCATCGGCATGACCGCAAACAGAAGTCGGTCATCGAGCTGAAGTGATGGCGGGCCGGTGAGTCAGTTGATTTAGTGTCAGCCGTTCGGATCGACGACAAACGTCCTCTGAAGTCTTTTCACAACTGCATTGTGTCGTGGTGTCAACCGATGACAGGCGCAGACTGTCGGATCTCTGGCGGACGGGAAAAACTACCTCAGCGTTCAAGTTGGAAAAAAATGACCTTGGTCTGGTCTGCGACTCTACCGTGGCTCGCCTCGTAACAGGGACCACAGTGCAGCCCCCCATGATTCAGAGGTTATCAGCCGTTTTCGCACGATGACTTACGCTGCACATGAGAATCTTAAGAAGTAAAGTAAATTCAGGCCGATCAAACCTTAACCTCAGCTTTCGTAGCTTTTTCCAGTGAAGAGGTTTATACATGTTAACGAATTTTGATGTGCGACAATCTTCGCGATTATGTGTGGTTGTACCGAAGCTAAGTGGTCTGAATTCCTTGCTCAAGGAAATTGGCGATTGGAACTAGGTTTTCTCTGGATTTGAACCCTTCACTTCCGAGTCTTGTTTCGGCGTTGATAACCGACCTCCGTAGCTTTCCCAAGAACACGTACTCCACCCCATTTCCTCATTCTGTCATACGATATTCTATTTTGATCACTAACCATTTTCCTCAGCGGAGAAGTCTATGCAGATCACGAACAACAAGTTCAAATAGCTTATTGCTTGTTCACACAGATTCTTGATTTCGTCACACAATAAGTTCATCTCTGTGCGGACCGTTGACACCTCCTGATAATCAGTTAAAATGTAAAGGACTTACTAAACGTGAAGCAATGTAATGTCATGGAGGAGATTCTTTGGAGCTTAATAACTGTACGCTCGTTCGACATGTTTCACTTCACCGTGACACGACTGCAATGTTTGGTCTGTTTACAAAGTGCCCGGATGTCAAGAGTTGTGAGGAACCAAGAGTTGAATTACAAGTGGAACATGGAAGAAAAGTGCTTAGAGAGTTTCGCGAATTTAAGAATCTCTGTTCCATCATTTAAAACGACGATACTAGAGGTAAATAGGGGATCTTGCTAGCTTCAGGAGAAAGGAGTTACTCTTCCAAAAAAAAATCTTCCTGTGTTTTGCCTCTGTCAGGTTAGTGGGGTAGTATGGCATAGAGACAGTTATTCTAACGAAGGAGTAAGAACGATGGCTGAAGAGCGTACAACAGCGTTGGCTTCGACACATAACGGGTTGAGTGGCAAGATTACGTAAGGAATGACACTGTTTCCTTTCGGACACTGCTGACCTCGGAAGAGGTAAAGATTAAGAGAAGGAGTTTGGCCCCGTTAGACAATCGGTCTCAGCAGGAGTTTCTTTTGTAGGAGCTGCAACAAGGTAGAAGTCGATCAGGAGGCTGATGGGCAATATGAATGGGTAAGGTAACGGTAGCTGTGCTTTAGGAGAGGATTATTTACTGCTAATATGCAATAAGCGGTGCCATATACACACATACCAATAATTACACATACACATTCATGGGGTGTTAATGGCATCAACATTTTGCGGAGCAGACGAAATCGTTGTACGGAAACAAATAATTAAATAGTGCGTTAAAGCTTCCAAGTTCGCTGAATGCGACGTTTAGAGCCTCCTTGGATCCGGATTCAGT